TAAATAATTTGTAAAATATAGGCTTAAATGATCAACAGGTATATGGTTACTTGCCTTGCTCGATGTCCTGAGATTGATTGATATTATCTAGAGTGTCAGAGGAATCCTCAAGACCTAGGGTTAGACAAATAAAATCCAAATTCAAAAAGGAGTTTTAAATAAAATCTAAAAATAAGAAAAATAGAGAAAATAAAATAAAATGTAAAAATAGCAAAAAGGGTCCAAAAGATAGAGAATGATTTTAGAAGAATATTGGTCCAAGTTTCATTGAAATTGGATCTATATTTTAAAAGATATGGGCTTCTAAAGTTTGAAAATCAAATAAATGTGAAATGGCACTGTGTGCGGGTCCCACCTGTTAGTCTCTCTCTCTCTCTTCTCTTCTTCTACCTTCGGCCATTCCCCAAGTCAGGCTGGCGGCACTAGGGTTTAGGATTGCGGCGGCAATAGAGGGAGAAAGTGGTTGCGGCCGAGGAGGGGAGGGAGCTAGGGATCTCCGGCGACGGCGAGCGGCGGCGGAGGAGTTAATTTGATGCATGGACGGCTTAGCGGCTAGGGCGGCGGTGGCACGGTTAGGCCGAGATGGCGATCAAGGTGATAAGAGTTAGACATGGCTAGGGGAGGGGTTCCAGAGCATCTATGAGGTATTTAGAGGGATTCCGGGGCAGCTTGCCAACCTTTGGCAAGGTGCGAAACATAGTTGCCGACGAGCGCCTCCATAGGCGGCGGCCGTGCTCACGTCGGCAGCTCAGAGGGCGGCATGTTTGTGCAAAAGGATTGCTAAAATGGAATCTAGGTAGTATGTAGATGGTTGAAACGGAAGAACTCACCGAGGTTGGTTGAAACGACGGATTGCGGCCGGAAAAACTTCGCGGCGGCGAAGAACAGAGCAGCGTGGGGGCGGCAATGCTCGGCTTGGTGTGGCGAGGTAAAACTCGACGTAGAGCTTTGGTTAGGGCTTATTATGCTAGAACATGGTAGGATATAGGTGTTCTAAGGGTTATTTAGGGCGGAGGATGGATGGAGAGGGGTTGAGTCGATCGCGCACAAGGTGTTCGACCGACGAGCGAGGGTGGTTGATTAGATGGATTGGTGAAGCAGAGCTTTGGGGTTGTGGGGCTATGGTTGTTGATGATCGATGATGGACAGGGAAGGGATTGGGGTCCTATTTATAGGGCTAGGAGGACCGGATGAGCTCGGGCACCGTCATCGCCATGGATGAACTCGGGTTTTGGATGAGGCAAAGGTGGCAGAAGCTGAGAGAGGGCGGGCAAGATCGATTTGAGTGGCGGGAGGCCACGTTCGAATACTTACCGGCGAAGGATTGACTTGACCGCGGTTGGAATCGGCTGGCGACGTGTTGACGCCAATCCGAGCACGACGCGCGGCGGCGGCGAGGGTGAAAACGGCCGACTTGGGGTGAATGGTTTGAATTGTGAGAGGGGATACCACCGTCTATCTCCAATCCAACCGTGCGGCAAGAATTGGCGCGATTCACCCCGGGTAGAAGCGAAATCGCACTCGGCGGCGGCTTGGATGGGAGCGCACGGCGTCGAGCGACGATTTCGTGCAGCGGCGGTCATCCCGGCTTTGTCGTCGTCAAGATTGGTGCAGCAGCGGTGAGCTGAGGGCATCGGACGGGTGATGGCGCGCCAAGGCGGTCGGGCATGCGCAGGCGGCTCCGAGGCCGACGCGCGGCGACATGGCGCGCGGCTAAGTCGGATGCCCGGGCGGCGCGAAGGGGAGGAAGAGGCAAAGAAAGCCACGGTTTTGAGTGGGTTGTGGTCCCCTAGGACCAAATCTAAACTTTGTGCAAGATTGGAAGAAGTTGGGTTGCTCTAATTGGGCTAGGCATTCTGTCGAGCACCTTGGGTGCAATGAACAGTGAATTTCCAGAATTTTTGAATATTTCCCTAGAAAAGATTTGAATTCAAACTAGGAGTTTGGAAGGGTTTCACTAGGGTTTAGAGTATAGCAAAACTCCACTAATAATAGGATAGGCTAAAGAAATAATCTATGGTTTGAATTTGAGAGATTTTGCTCAAATTCACTAGGGTTTAAAATAAAGGGAATAAGTTAGAGTAAATTGGAAGGGTTCTAATAATACTTGAACCAATTTTTAAATAAACATCAAATAGATTTTTGAACCAAACAAATTTAATCAAAAGCCAGCATGATGCAGTCAAATTTTAGTTTAAAATTTGAGGATGTTACACGTTCAAATACACTTTGTTTGGTGGAGAGTTATATCGCTGAAATATAGATTGTGTCTTGTTAAAGTGCTTAGATGAAGATCAATCTAAAGTGGCTATGGGAGAGGTACATGAAGGAATTTGTGGAACTCATCAATCGGCCCACAAGATGAATTGGTTGCTTAGGAGAGTGGGGTTCTATTGGCCGAGGATGATTGATGATTGCTTCAAATATTATAGGGGATGCGAAGCTTGTCAACGGTTCGGCAATGTTCAATTGGCGCCCGCCGCCGTGTTGAATCCTATAATGAAACCATGGCCGTTCCGATGTAGGGCTTTGGATTTCATTGGTCAAATTTGTCCTTCGTCATCAAAGGGGCATAGGTCCGTGCTAGTTGCTACGGAATACTTCACCAAGTGGGCCGAAGCTGTGCCTTTGAAGAACATGACTCATACGGAGGTAATTGACTTTATTTTGAAGCATATTATTCATAGATTCGGTATTTCGCAAACATTAACTATGGACCAAGGTGCTTCTTTTATGTCTAAGGAAGTGAAGAGTTTTACCGAATCTTATGGTATTAAATTGTTGAGTTCTTCTCCTTACTACGCTCAGGCTAATGGACAAGCCGAGTCGAGTAATAAGACATTGTTGAAGTTAGTGAAAAAGAAGATTGAGGAACACCCAAAGAGGTGGCATGAGGTGCTTTCCGAAGCATTATGGGCGCATAGGATATCTAAACATGGTGCCACTAAAGTGACTCCTTTTGAGTTGGTTTATGGTCGAGAAGTCATTTTACCGGTGGAGGTAAATCTTGGTTCTCTTCATTATATCAAGCAAGATGATTTGTCAAGTGAAGATTACAAGACGTTTATGGGAGATAACCTTGATGAAGTCATTGACAAGCGCTTGAAGGCATTGAAAGAGATAGAGAATGAGAAGAAAAGGGTGGCCAAGGCGTACAATATAAGGGTGAAAGCAAAGTTGTTTCAAGTTGGAGATTTGGTTTGACAGACAATTTTGCCTTTGGGTACTCGATCCAAGGAGTTCGGTAAGTGGTCTCTTAGTTGGGAGGGTCCTTATCGAGTATGCGGCATTGTTCGAGGAAACGCATATTTTTTGGAGACACTTCAAGGGGAGCGTTTTCAGCGAGCAATCAACGGGAAATACTTGAAGAATTACTTCCCGAGCGTTTGGCAAGACGCTTAGGAGATACTATGGCCAGTAATTGGATTATCGTCCTAAGACCAAAACATGTTCTATGCTTTTAGATTCACGTTGTTCATCGAAAAGGCAGGGGGGCATGTGTTTACACCAAAATTTGGCACCAAGAATTAAAATAGGAAAAATTGCCAGAATTTGGAAATCTACCGGTTTCCTCCGAGTGGGCTGGTCTGACCGCCGTGTGTTGGGCGGTCAGACCGCCAGTTGAGGGCCGGTCTGACCGGCAGGTCCGAGCCCGACTGTGTTTCGTCGGGTCTCGAGGTTTCCTTGCTCGGGAAGGCATGTTTCGGGTTTCCTTTAGTTTCTACCCCGAGTTGGACGTGGAGGAGGGCCTGTAGAGGGCAAGACCAACCCCTATATAAGGGACATGGCTGGTTCATTGAAAAAAACCAATCTACAATCAATCAATCGAATCGTTTTTCATATTGCTTTTAGTTTTCTCTTAGTTTGTCCATCTTTGTCGGTTTGTGCCGTAAACCGTTCGCCGCCGCTGCAAGAGTGCGACATCTCTTTGTAGGTTTGTCCTGAAAACCTAACGTTTTACCCACGAGACGGGTAATTATCTAGAAATCGGCTCCGCTAGCCGGTTTAGTTATGGTTGGCGACTCTAGGATCACCGCAAGGCTTAAGGTGCTGCGATCGTCATTGTCAACTTGTCACAAATAGTTGCCAACACCCACAAGCATTTTGTATAGAAGAAGACCTTTTCATGCAAGTCGAAAAAATCCCCGAACCCCAACCCCACCCATACAGTGACACCGTAACTTGTGTGAGAATGACCAACGACATGTACTGGGCCTTAGACCTGTGCTTTGGCATGGGACAGGGGATTTTTTTTAACCCCAGCCTAAAATTCACTCCCACTGAGAGTCAAACCTAGGACCTGACGAGTGTTACTAGAGCCACCTAACCAACTCAGCTAGAGCCTGTTCGCAATGGCATAAAATAGTTTCCCTCTATTTTTAAACAGAGAGAGTAGTAATTTATCTACCTAACCAGAAAATAGCCATAAAAAGATTATATCCATTACCAAGCCAACTTGAGTTGTTGCATCGTTCCATTAGTCTACTGAGCAGAATTTTAAGTTGAATTGTTGTGTCAAGTTCCGGTCTTGATTTTAGTTTGAGTTGCACGTTTGTCATTGTTTTGATCTAGTGTTTGTGTTACTATGACGAGTCTGTTCTTTTACATGAATTAGGTTCTAGTTGTGTATCCTGTCCATTGTTGCTGGGCCATGAAGAATCGAACTTATTCGTATCGAAGTTTCTGAATACTGGAAATCTCTTACCTCCTTCATCCCGAAATAAAATAACTTCTAGAATTGAAAATTTGTCCCAAATGTAACTTATTCTCTTCTCAAGCAATCGCATGCGTCGACCTCTTAATTTCTCCATCTACTTTCTCTTATCAACCAATCACAATATTCCTCCAATTAATTTTAGTTACTTTTTAATACCTGTGTTCAACCCAAAAGCTTCTTATATTTTTGGATCGAAGTAGTATTTCTTTCTGCCATAAACCATTTTCTCATTGTTGGATTGATGTCCATATGGCCTTTCATTGTACACCTCATCAAACATTCATTTGACAAGCATGATGTAATTCTGTACCCAACAACTGTTGCTGACACTTATTCACTCAGAATACTAATAATACGCCACATTAATTCACCTTTCAAAAATTATAGGAGGAAAGCTTTTATTTTCAGACAAGAAACCAGAGTAAGTAATTATGTTATTTTCTCCAATTCACACCAACGTATAATATTGTCACTGCAAACCAAGGGTCAATCACCTGCAGCAATTCAACTTTCAATTCTCACCTTCCCACCAGACTAGCTTTGGTGATCGTTGGTGATGACCGTGCGAGAGGGTTGGTCTCCCTCTGCCTACTAAACTCAGGGTTACTAGATCCTGCATAGCTACTAGTGGTGTAGCTACTGCTCCCACCATCCCTGAGCTGCCACTCGGTGATATAGCTCGGCTTCGTGACCACCTCAGCCACATCAACATCTCCGATGAGCATTGCCACAACCCTTGACATTGGCGGCCGCTGGTGCGGTGAGCCCTGCGTACAAAGGAGAGCAATACAGATGACTCTGAAAGCTTCCTTCTCATCAAATTCCTTAAGACATGGATCGACTACGCGCAGAGCTTGCCCCATTTCATACAAACCCCAGGCCTATATACAAACATAGGTTCAGTGAGCAGAAGACAATAAACACGAACGAACTAATGTTTTCTGGGATGGAAAGATCATTGATCAGCTTACCCACTCCAAGAGATATATCTTGCTTTCCTCAAGGGAGTTGTTTGTATTCGATCGACCAGCAACAGTCTCCAACATAAGTACTCCAAATGCAAAAACATCGGCCTTCTCTGACAAATGACCTCTCATTGCATACTCAGGAGCTAGGTAGCCCCTTGACAAAGATAAGATAAATTAATAGTAGCAATCATATTGATATTGCGGTTTTAAGAAGAGAAATGGTTAAATGTTCTTACATTGTGCCCGCAATTCTTGTGCTCACATGAGTTTTCTTCTCATCATATAGTTTGGCAAGTCCAAAGTCAGAGATCTTTGGGGTGAGGTCAGTGTCAAGTAGGACATTGCTGGCTTTGATGTCCCTATGCACAATGCGGACACTTGACTCCTCATGAAGATATGTTAGGCCTCTTGCTATGCCTAAAATGATATCAAATCGCATTGCCCAATCTAGTTTTAAGATACTATGTCCTGTGCAAGCAGAAATAACTCAGTTGTTGGCAAAATACAAAAAAAAACAAATTGTCTTGTCTTAGTGAAGCAAAATTGTATTAGTGAAATCAACCAAGCATAATGTCATATGCTGGAAATTTGCATCATTGAACTCACCAAATATTGCTCGATCCAGGCTTCCATTTTCAAGGTACTCATAAACTAACAAGGGTGTTTTACTATCAATGCAGCACCCATGCAATTTAACAAGATTCCGGTGTTGCACAGCAGAGATTGTTGCTACCTCTGTCACAAATTGGCTTTTGCCTTGATGAGATGTTTCAGAAAGTTGTTTCACTGCTATAACTCTTCCATCAGGTAGTTTACCCTGCCAAATGAAGAAACCTATTACATGTATATTTTGAACATGCACATAAAGATTACCAAAATTCTGGTCTTAATAGAAAATGAAATAAATACTCGTCTCTTTTTGCACATTATTAGTAACAGATAATAGAAAACCTTATACACTGGCCCATATCCGCCTTCCCCAATGATGTTTTGATAACTGAAATTGTCGGTAGCTAGCTTGAGTTCAGTGTTACTGAAGACATCGGGTTGTCCAGCAAGGTTGTACAGTTCTGCTTGTTTTTCATGGTCAGATGAGAAAGAGTAAATCATCTAAATAGTTTTAGACTGAATTACTATAAAAATAATTAATACCTTCTTGCTGTTCTGCTATTGTTCTTCTCTTCTTTACCAACAAAAATATTCCAAATAAGGATACTACTCCTAACACTAATGCACCAATTGTTATTCCAGCAATTGCACCTGCTTTACTTCTCCTTTTTGGTACACCATTTCGAACTGTTGGAGTAAAATCTGTATAAAAAAATGATCTTATTAGATTCCATATAATCCTTGTTGAAGATAACATAATGGTTGCGCTTACTTGGTGTGACACTTAATGCTGAGATCATCGGCCCATAGTAACCTTGAGTAGGTACACAACAAGTTCCCTTACCAGCCCAAAAGAGATGAATCTCAAGGAAATTTTTGGACACTCTTGCAGTATAACTTCTGTTGACTGCAGTAAAAGATTTTCCACCCGCCATCTTCCTTATATCAAAATTCTTTTCTTTTAGATCACCCTAGGCAAATTGCAACTGGTTCAGATAAAGAATAAAAAAATTCAGTAAACAAGCCAGTCAATTTTTACCTGGACATATATGTCAAAAACTCTCCTTCCTAAGCTTAGCCACGTCTGCGAGTCTGGATAAGCAAACTCGGCAAATTGAAGCAGAACAGTGTAATTTCCATTCTCGAGTCCAAGGCCATAATACCTCACCGACGACGCCGACATCCTTGCAGTTTCAAATAATCTTGAATCAAGGACATTCTGAATTTTCTGTGGACTATTTATTATGTTCACTCCATCTGTAGCCAGAAAGTAGTTCCCGACATTGCTTACACCCCATCTTGTGTCACTAGTAACATAATATGATGCAGCCCCAAGGTTTGCAGCATCTGGTTCGTAAATAGTTCCATCTAAGCCTCTAGTCGTTCTATTATTGCCGCAGTCAACCGCAAAGGAATAGTCTGGAATTAAGATTTGTAAAATCAATCATTCAAATTTCCATGCTCATGGTAACTACTACTGTAGATGAAGAGAAAGAAATATACATTCTGCAGATCCACGGAAACAAGGGGTGTCTTGCTGGAGGCAGTTTAGTCCTGAAGGTAAAGTGCTGTGGACAATTTTAATTAAAAAAATAAAAGTTGTGAGTAACATTCTTTTGATGGTTAACCTCTTGCAGAATTATAACTAAATGTCATAAGTACCTGTGGCCTATGGTACCAAGTTCAAAGTTGTTTGCCACCAAATTTCTAGTACAAAATAAAAGATTAGAATATCTAATTCTACTATTCTTCAATCCAAACTTCAGAATTTCATACTCACAATTGGAAGTTGTTCTGGGTAGCCCAAGAAGGCAAGCCTCCGGTGAGTTGGTTGTAGGAAAAATCGCTACAAACAGTCCACGGTCAGTACATATGAAATTAGTACATTGTATTATGAAAATAATTTGACCTATGGTGCTATTTTGGTCTTTTTGACATACATCGCTTTCAAGGATGGGCTTATAGCATCTGGAAGACTTCCTGTAAAGCTGTTGTTCCCAAGAAACCTGATATGGTACAAGATGATGGAACATAATGATGAGCTCAGCTTTTATTTGTGTAAACTTAATTAAGGCAATGAAAACATTCTTACAGAAATTCAAGATTTGTCATATTCAGAATGGTTTGAGGAATTTGGCCTGTGATATTGTTAAAACTCAAGTCCCTGTGATTCATGACAGATTTTTTACATCAAGAGATGCTTCACAATCTGAAGAAATGATTAAAAGCACAATAAATCATGTAGCAATGCTAAGAGTGAAAACTCACAGCAGGGTTAAAACTCCAAACTTCGAAAAATCTACTGGTGCAAGATTGCCAGATATCTTGCAGTTCCTTAATATTCTGTGACAAAAAGATCAAATTTCAGTAACTTGAAACTTTGTGAATACTATAAGCTCTATGTGTAAAAGCATCACATACAGGTTGCTCAAAGATGTGAGGTTACTGATAAAGGCCAATGAAGAGCTCCCATTTACAATATCACCAATCCGTCTGCTCATTTGTATATTTTACAAATCAGTTATCTAGCTTGACCTTGTCAGGCTCTCAGCCATCATCGAATCAATGATACCCAAAACAATGTACTTACAAGTTGGTTAACTTGGTTAGATTAGCTAAACTTGGTGGGATCGGTCCTTCAAAAGAATTTCCTTGGAAAGCCCTACAAGCTCACACTTTCAGAAAAGTACAGACATGCGAAGCTCATTCTAATAGAGAAAAGTAAGCTCCATGTATGAGCATTTTTAAGTCAAAGTTGTTTGTATCAACATGGCATGCAGATTACTCTAATTCCATGCAGACTGGAAGGTGAAAAATTCTATTGTTTGAGTTCAGATGGAAAAACACATGCAGAAACTTTATGTTGAACAATTCCATTTGTCTCTGAATAAGATACACTGAGTGGTATGTCAACAAGTTTATATAATTAATCTTACATATCTTCCAACTTAGGCATGATCCCCAAATAATCAGGTATTTTCCCTGTAAAATCGTTATCTGATGACCTCCTGCATCCGCATCCAAATGTTAGACATTTAGCATGAAAACATGACGAACATATATAATGTCTAAGGCTATGGTATTGACCGTACAAGATCTTCAGGTTCTGAAGTTTTGAGAATGTTGAAGGGAACGGACCACTGAATCCACAACTATCGATGTACCTGTTATTGAAAGATTGAAGTGTTATCCTGTACAACAATATATCTGCCCATAACAAAATTTAGTTATTCATAAATAGCAATTGGATATTAGAAATGGTGCATCTTACATCTGCTGAAGATTGGTCATATTGCCCAGTTCTTTAGGAAGTTGACCGCTAAAATTGTTAAAGCTAATGCCCCTGAATCAAAACGAATATTTCATGACAATAAATTAGCTATATTCCTCTAATAGCTGGAAAGGGGCTCAGTTTAACCTGATGAGCCATCTGACCTACATAATAAATTTTCAAGCCTTCCTCAGGTCAATTTTCCTTGAACATGTGAAGTACAACTTGAAACTTACAGGCTAAGATATGCCGACAGGACTAACATATAGACTTCTGAATTTACAGTAAATTTATTGTCGAGAAAAAATGTGATTAATCGTTTCTAGTATAATTATTTTAGTTCAGGCAGTCGCAAAATTATATTTGAAGATTGATCTGCCATGAAAAACAAGTCCTTACAGCGAGAGGAGATTGGTGAGGTTTCCAAGTTCCTTTGGAAGCGGTCCAGACAGTGCATTGAAAGGAAAAGCCCTTTAAATGATGAAAAATAGTTAACACAAAACACCAATCTATAGATGCTACATGAATTTGAGAAATTGACGTATAGCTCCTACAAATATTTCATGAAAGTAAACTTTCCAAAGAATGATGGCACGGCACCAGTCAAGTAATTATAGCCCAGGTTCCTGCAACAACACCAAGAAACATCATGTCAGTTAGCTAACACAAAAATCTTGCATTCCCGACTACTATTTGCTGGTTTTCACCAGGATGTCGACAGTTGAGTATTCAAAACAAGGAGTTGAATTTATATTTCCTGCAAAATTAACATTGATTATCAGGATTAAGATGATAAGGCATAGATACCATACAGGTCCAGCATATAGGTGAAATTCTGCAGCTCCAAAGGTATTTCGCCAACAACGCTCAAATTTGTTACCCTCCTACAAAAACAAGAAAGTAATCAATGTTGATAAGTAAATGAAATAATTCTATTTTTTCCCTTGGATTGTTGAGAACTATTCACTTTTTACCCTAACTCCCAAATCATTTGGTTTGCCCAAAGAACGTACAAAATCAGGCCGATTCACCCAAAAAAAAATAGAATACCCGGTTTTCATCCGGCATACCAAATTTGGGACGGACTGGTGTGGTTTCAGAGGAAAACAAAAGAAGTGAAATTTGGATGGGCTTGTCCATAGTTGGATGTATGCAGCCAAAGTTACAATCGGGAGTATTTAAACCCCACGCCTCACAATCTCTATCTCTATCTCTATCTCTACAATTATAAAAGTTTAAGGTGTTTTTGCCTGAAAATTTTGTGCGTTGTCCGATTTGTTTCCATTGTCGTATCAGCTCAGTTCGGCACAATTCAGCCGAAGTTCACTCGCTCGGACTGACAATGAAGATTGAATCGAGCTGTAAAGAAAAGGATTATTTTCATGCTTTATTAGTGCAAATTTAATGAGAGAATCCATTATATGCCATTGATTTTGTCGCACATCTATGATTTGCCACTGACTTTATCACGTTCTACAATATGCCATCGACTTTTTCTTAACTTCTACGATTTACCATCGTCGTCCGGTTAGTCTCTATTAGTACTGTACAAATTTGTCAAAATGACCAAAATATCCCTGTGGCAAAACTTTCAAAATTTGGATAAAAATTCTGAAATATCATATTTTATGTTTTTGGCCAAAATTTGGATGTTTACAATCTTATGTTTATAATATGATATTTTGATAATTTTATCCAAATTTTGGAAGTTTTTGTCCTAGGGGTATTTTGGTCATTTGGAAAAAAAATGTACAGTGCTAACAGAGGCTAACCAGACGGTGATGGTAAATTGTAGAAGTTAAGCAAAAATCGATGGCATATTATAGAACATGACAAAGTCAGAGACAAATCGTAAACATGTGACAAAGTCAGTGGCATATAATGGATCCTCTCAAATTTAATTGGGTTGTAGAAAGCTGGCTGAACTAACATATATGGGCTGTAAACTTGAGGGGAAGGAATAAGTCTATTTTACCTATCTCCTGTTTTGCCTATGATCAAATGGCATCTCTCAACCCAGAACCGGGTATAATGCTTCCCTCAACTTAAAAAACCGGTGCAAATTAGCTCCATTAGTGGTTTAGACAATGGTTTATGCTAAGTCGGCAGAAAAAACTTTTCAAAATAATAGTGGGACCTATATGTCTTCCCCTCTCTATCTGACACATATGTACAAATTAAATTGGCTCTACCCGTTGCAACGCACAGGTACCTTTTCTAGTATAGAAAAAACAAGAAAAATGCTAGAGGACTGAAAAGAAAGCTAGAATACTAAGCTTCAAATCTTAAAAAATATGTCCTTGCTTTAAACCACCGCTGACACCACCACTCGCGACACCGGCACAACTGAAACTTAGGCGTGGCTTGTAGGCTCGAGAATACCAATGCCCACCTAGGCCGCACCTGCCAACGGCACCACTGCACGGCTCCCAATGCCCATGTGCCACCTTGGCCACTGATAGGCATTATGTGGTTGCCATCCATCATTGCCATTCGGCCAAATCTAGCCCATGGGATTCACTATCCCTATTATGAGCCGACCGTTGCACTACATCCAACACATGGGTTCCTTTAGCACTCCTGCGTGTGGCCACGACAGCATCATCAGCTCATCACCCTTCATGCCGCTCAAGCCATGCTCATTGTCCCTCAACTCTGGTGTTGCTCACTTTCAGTCAAAAAAAAAAAACTCTGGTGTTGCTCACTGTCCCTCATCTCTGGCTCAGACCGCCAAAAGAGGCGAGGAAGACCTCACCGCAGCCATCCTAGCTATCGCTCGCCCTCCGGTGGCCTGCTCAGGCAGCAGCGAGGTGGAGGCGGGGGGTAGCAAGTGGCTAGGGTTTAGATGAGAGAGGACAGTGATGCGAAAAAACGATACTGCGGCCATTACTATGGAGAGATGATCATTTCACTGTTGTATATACATAGAAAGTACTACTCCCTCGGTCCAACAAAAAAAAAACAATTTTTGCGATTTAAAATTGAGTGAAGTACACAGGTGATCTCTAAACTAGTGTAAGTGCGCCATCTAGGTCCCTGAACATCCAAAATTTATTTTTGGGTCTCGAACTTCTAATGGGTGTTATCAAGGTCTAAATGGGCTCCAATCCACTTCATGCGTGGATGTGACATGCCAAGGTGGCACCTACATGTCAACAGGACCCACATGTCATTCACATAGAAGATATTAAAATTAAAAAAACATATTTTTCTTCTCTCTCCCCCCTATCTTCCTCTAATTTCATGTAAGATCCAGAAGGAGAAAGGGAGGAGAAAATATACTTTTCTATGTGACTAATATGTGGGTCACACTAACACGTATATGTCACCGTGGCATTCCACGTCAACGCACGGAGCGACTTGGAGCCCGCTTGGACCTATATGACACCCACGACACGTTCAGGGATCCGAGAATGCATTTTGATAGTTTATAGACCTAGATGATACACCCGCACTAATTTAGGGACTGTCGGCATACTTCACTCCGACTATAATGTCCACTAATCAATGTCAGATATAACTTTTAGAGTAAAGTGTATTGCCCGTCCTTAAACTTGTTCGTCTATGTCATCTAGGTCCCTAAACTGTCAAAATTCATTTTTAGGTCCTCGAACTTATTAAAATGTGTCATTATGGTCTCAAATTACCACGACCCTCCGAGATCCTACATGGCGCTTATGTGGCATGTCACATGGACACTAATGTGACATAACACATTAATATTCCGGTCCCAAAATTTTTTCTTCTTCTATTTCCTTCCCTTTGTGTTTCCCTTCTCCTTTTTTCCACACCAAAAGGAAGGAAGAACAGAAGAAAAAGAAAAAGGGGAGAAAAAAGATAAAGAAAATGAGTCAACTCCCATGTGGCATTTCACATGAGCGTCTATTGATAATGTGGGACCGCAACGGCACACTTTGACAAGTTTGAAGTCCTGAAAATATATTTTGAGAGATCGGAAAATGACACGGACGACAAGTTTAGGTATCGACAGTCGTGAAGAGAGGATTCTTAGTGCATTTGAAGCACAAGTAATTTGAAATAGAGGCAAGCCCCCACGTCACTCCTAGGGCAGGGGCGACACGGGAGGCGCCCCCAGCCGGTGCGCCACCATCCCTGCCTATCTCCCTCCTCGACCTCACCGCCCCTCGAGCAGGCTACCAGAAACTACGTGGCCGCCAGGATGGCGGCGGCGGGGCCATCCCTTCCCCCCGAGGTCGCGGCATCGAAGCCCACGACCCCGACCAGATCCAGGGCAATGTGACGACGGCGAGGCACGATGCCGCTGGCCAGATCTGGCATCCTCCTGTCTAGATCCGGCGGTGGTGGCGGCGAGGCGCCAAGGCACGGCTGCGTGGAGGCAGCAGTGTAGATGTCGGTGGCAGCGTGGACGTGGAGGCGGCAAGGAGGCTACTAGATCCAGCCCCTCAGCCCGGATCCAGCCTCCCAGGCGCAGGGAGCCGATCCTCGAGCTAGTGGCGGCGGGGAGGCGGTGGGGCGCGGCAGTGTGGAGGTGGTGGACATCGGAGGTGGTGGGGCAGACATTTGGAGGCGGAAAGGCGCGATGCTGCACCATCGATGGTGGGCTCACCCGTGCAACACCGTCGGTGGGAGGAAGGCGGAGATGGCGGCGGGGATAGGAGAACCCTACTGGGAGCGTCCGGTGGTGGCAGTTAGTAGGCATGGTGGCGCTAGGAGATGCACCCGATGAGGTGGGGCTGTGGGAGTCTAACGTGGCGAGAGCAGAGGCAGTGAAAGGCCACCAAGGGCTATGGAAGGTCGGTGCAAACGGCGTCATGGTGCGAGCATGGCATGGCTGGTGTGCAGTGGCGGTGTGGCTGCCGTGGTGAGAGGATGGAAGCAATGATGATGATACCTAGCGGCCCATTGCGAAAACAATGGTAGCTTGGTGGAGGTGGTGACAATGGTAGTGCTATGAGAAGAACGTTGAAGCCTGCGGCAAGCATCTTTCCAGGCGTTTGTGCTTTTGCTGCGGTGGCTTGCTGCCATAAGATGGCCATGCTGGACAAGCTAGTACGGGGAAGAGATGATCCATTCTTCACTCTCATTCTCTCCTCCAACCCAACCACGTGGATGCAGTTGAAGTGCGCCGGAGTTTGAGACTCTCTTTGATGACCGGCCAGCAGCGAGGTGCCGGCGTAGTTGCTATGTGTCGAAGGGGATTGGTTGGTGGTTCTGCTGAATCTGATATGCACTCTTTAGTGCGGGAGAGTAGGAACTATGGGCGAAGGCCTAGCCTTCGGGCCGGCAACGGCGACGCCTACGGACCCCGCTTTTCCCTTGGGGCATTGCTATGTTTCCTCTTCTCTCCCAATGGGTTATTTTGGTGAAAACTAAGTCCTGATTCTTTAGAATGGGCGGTGGCGGCGCTCTTAGCGTCGTTTTCTCCTTGGAGGCGTCATTTAGAAGACACATTCCTTAGGGTTGTTGTGTGCTTGTTTCGATTTTAGCATTAGGAGATGTAGATATGTGGTGTGGTTGTCTTTTTCTTTTTCCTAACTATTGTCTCGCAGGACTATGGACTTGTGATTTTTTTTTTCTGCTGTATCAATAGAAACGTCGTGCTATCTTGTGCGGGGTTGTTTAAAGAAAAAAGAAATAGAGGAAACACAGTAGTACAATATAAACAAATTGGATCAAAAGCAGTGGTTGGAATGGACCATATTTTATGGTAGGAAGCAGTTGCAAGCAACACATGTAGAGTTAATTAGCTGAACTAGATGACACTAGATCAAAAAACAAGCAGTCACTAACAGTCTGACACTTGACCACATATATTTGAACCATCAAATATATAGATCAAATATTTAAACGAACTCTTTACAAAGGGCACTTCATTGAACTCATAGTGCACAGCACACCTGACCAAAGAGAGAAGACGTGGAAGCGTATACTTACAGTCTGGTAATGTGGCAGAGGGTGTTGTTGCTGAAAGTGCAGTCGCACTTGATGAATGGATTGATGTTGGGGTAGTTATCCCAGTCGCTTTTGTCAGAGGCGAGACCGCTGCAGGGCTCGCCGCTTATGTTCCACTCCGACGACGCCTTCTTGCCCCATCTTCCCAGTATCGTGTTCAGGGCCGCCGCTGGCATGGTTAAACTCAGCGTTACTGTTTAATTAGTGTTCATGTATATATGTCCATGCAGAACTATAAAATGAATCAAGTTCCCTCTAGTTCTTTTTCTGAGGCAAGCTAGAGGCCTGCAATCGATGGAGGAAAACCAAGATCAAGACGACGATTTGCACATGGTATGAGATGATCTTTCGGACAAATCAGATCCATATTGACTCAGCCTTTGGTATATATGTAGAAATTGAGCCAAACAAACTTACAGAGTCTTTATTACAAAACAAAAAAAAAATGATACATCAAAAAATCTGGTAAGATCGATGTAGTAGTACAACTTACCCTCGAGTGGATCAGTTTTTGGTGGTTGCGGAGCCTGAGCAGCTGCGATCCTCCATGTCCATGAGCACACAAGCACCACCCACACGAGACCGCTCATCCTGCTGCACCAACGCCGCATCTCTCTCATCGCTCGCTCGCTCGCTCATACGCACTGTGGAAACAACGACGTTGGGTAGTTGCTTGGCTTGTTAATAAATATAGAGATAGATCATAGATGTCGCTTCAAACAATAGAAAAAAATGGGAGTAAGTACATGCATAAAATATAATAAGATTTCGTTTGTCAAAATAAACATTAGTAGATCTGTCAGCAAAAATATAATTAGAAAAAAAAGGTACAGCACTAGAATATATGCACCGGACGAACGTGTCAACATCGCAGGCAAAAAAAAAAAGAAAAAAACACGGTACTATAGCGTGAGATATATTATTTAACGGAGGAGTATGTAGATGTTTGCTTATGACTTTTTAATACATTATATGAATCATATTAGCATTTTCAACCCAAAACAAAAACATTATTAAAATACATTTTATGCTATATTTAATGAAACTAGTTTGGTGTTGTACATGTTACCATATGGTCAAACTTAAATAAGTTTGACTTGAAAAAATTAAATTGTCTTAAAATATAAAACAAAGTGTAAAAATTTGTTTTCTTAATTACAAATATTGTGTCGTTTTAATCATCTTTTTTATATACATATCCTTCGATTTTCTTCCCTCTCATAATCATCTTGTACTTCATTTTTTGTTTTATACTCCAATCATATATATACATATATATAGTCTTAATAGTTTCAAGTGGCCCTCATTGTCAACCTAGAGTTGTCATCGTCGCTAGCTGCAACCGCACTGTTGTTTTGACAGCCGTGCGAAGGAAAAACCTGCCGTCGACCAAATTGCGGAAGGAACAACGATCGATCTCTGCTGCGGTAGTTGAGTCGTGCTACCATACGTATGTCAATGCTATAGATTGGTAACATGATGGTTTACGAAGAAAAAAAAATCCAAATTACTCCCCTATCTATAGCGATAGTTCACAAATATCTTAAACAACAAAACTACACATTTTAAACCTTAAACTCTTAAAACTAGATGAATTATACTACTAGAAAAAGCATTTTTCCCGACGTGGGGGGGCTCATTTTTGCAGGCGCCGCTTAAGTGGTCCACCTACGAAAATAGACTTGAATATAAATAGACTTGCGGATGCTAATTTTTTTCTAAGTCTCACACCTCTCCTCCCCTCCACACCTCTCCTCCTCTCCCCTCCCCTTACCTCTCTTCACCGGCCTCTCCCCTCCCCTCACCTCTACTCTACCCGGCCGCCGGCCGGAGGCGGCGGTGGCGGCGGGCGGTGATGGCGGAGGGCTGCAGCGGCGAGGCGAGGCGGCGCAGCCGAGGAGGGCGACGGAGGAGGGCAGCGCGGCCCGGCCCCTCCCTCCCAGATCTGGCCGGAGGGGGGCGGGGGGAGCGCGGCGGCCGGCGGCTCCCAGCCCGTCCCTCCCAGATCTGGCCGGAGGGGGCTGCGGGGAGCGCAGCGGCGGCGGCAGGCGGTGGCGGCGGAGGGCGACATCGGCGAGGAGGCAAGGTGGCGCGGCTTCCGGCCACGGCGGTGAGGACGGCGGCGGCGGCTCCCCCCCCCTCACTCCCAGATCTGGCCAGAGGAGGGAGGGGGGAGGCCGGCGGGGGCGGCGACAGCGTGGAGCGGCGGTGACAACGGCGGCGGCTCCCCTCCCCCCTCACTCCCAGATCTGGCCGGAGGTAGGAGGGAGGAGGGCGGCGGCGGCTCCCCTCCCCCCTCCCTTACAGATCTGGCCGGAGGAGGGAGGGGGGAGGCCGGCGGCAGCGACAACAGCGTGGAGCGGTGGCGGCGGCGATGACGGAGCGGGCCGGTGATTTTTTTTTTTGTTTGTTCATTCCATTTTCGCAGACGGGCCACGTTGCCCCGATGATTTTCGCAGTCGCTGTGGTGCAGGCGGACCTCCCTCCCGCCTCGGAAAATTAGTTTTGTCCTCATGTAAAAATGCTTTTTCTAGTAGTGGTACCCCTAATTCTCAATCAAGACTATAACTAATTTGGTTCGAGATAGAGTGTAATTTATTCGGTATAAAGAGTTTGGGGTTTAAAATGTTTGGTTTCGTGATTCAGGGGTAATTCGTACAATCGCTATATAGTTCAAAGTAGTAATTTAGACTTTTTCCTTTTACAAATTGCAGAAAGTATAGAACATTCTAGCTATCTGCAATGATTTTTCTTTCACCGGTTTGGGTGTGTGAAACCATTTGCAAGCCTAGTTGGTCCATTTGGCTTGCTAAAATGATTGACCCAAAAACAAATTTCAGGGAGTATAAGCTGACCATGACATGTTCAAAACAAACATTTTATCCAAGTGTCCGAATGGCCCACGTGAAGGGAGTTTATTGTTTTTATCCATAGTCATGCATGACAGCATCCTCTGCCTGAATTTTCTACCGACCTCTCATTTTCCTTAGTTGTTTTCCCGATAGGGCGGATAACAGACTCTCCGAGGAAAGCTGCATACGTGGCAAGACTATCCACAATGTGTTCCATCTCTACTTACGTCTTATTCTATTATTTGCACTCCATATTCAACTTGGCAGTCCAGTTCAACTGATTTTTAATTAATTTTCTGTTTTAGGCTCCGTTCTATAGGAGGGTAAAAGAGAAGAACGATAAGATTTTTAAAATAATAAGGTGAGACTTTAGCATATGATTAATTGAGTATTATTTTTTAAAAAAAATAAAAATGAATTATTATGATTTTACAAAGAAATTTTCCTATATAATATTTTAAAAAATACATTGTTTAACTGTTTGGATAGCGTGTGCGTGGAAAACGAGAGATTTCTTCATTCTCGTCCGAATGAACGCAGCCTTATTAGTCCCTGTATATCTTGCTTTCAATTTAGCATTTGGTTTCCTAAATTCTATTTACCTAGTAATGTACATTGATATCTGGCATATGATAATAATAACAAAGGAAATAAAAGTTAAAATCAAAAAATGAAAAGAATAAAAAAGAAAATATCCACAATAAACAAGAAAAATTTAAGGGGGAAAAGGTTGATTTGAACACTACAAAAAATTATTTGCGCAGACTCTAGGCTTTCGTTTTTATAGATGGCCTCAAAAGAAAACCGGCTGAGAGGATGGTTCATGCCACTTCAATGTCATAAACTGTCTGTTAAAAATCCATTTTTTACATTTGGGTCTTAAGAAAACTACCTATGTAAAATAGGTTCATTTTCAAGGATATCTTTTTTAAGAAAACTGCATCTTCAAATCATGATTTTAAGAGCCATGAAGAAAATTATAACCTCAGATAGAGATATGTTGTATATCAAAGTTGTAGACCTCAACATGATCTATATGTTACTTGATATGTTTTGAATAGATTCATGTAAAATAAGTTCGTATATGTGTCTAAATTTATATGAATGTTAGTGAATATAGATGAGGGAAATGCTAGTGAATATAGATAAGGGATAAAGACACTAAACGTCTTACAATTGAAAACAAGCTAGAGAGTACAAATTCTAGAGAGGTAAAGTGGGCATTCATACCATGCTCACAAACTAGAGTGAGATTGTAAAACCGTTACGCGTGGAGTGTGGAGTAAGAGGTGCTAGGTTTGAATCCTATATATATACCACACACGAGTGTAAAATCGTGTGATTTTTGACTTTACACTACCTGCTACCCTATATAGATAACTACTAAAATTTTTATTTTTGGGGGGAGAGGGGGAGGGTGGTGGTTGTGCCTAAAAAATAAAAAAGAAGAAATCTATTTTTGAGAAAAATAAAATAATTTTCAGGTGCGGTTGTGAAATCCATGTGCATAAATCCATGATTTCTGTAGGTTGTCAGTTGCATGAAGATCGTAAAACGCTTTTGTTCTGGACATTCATTTTCATGAATCCTTGATTTGAGGCTCTATTTCCCTGCGCAAATCCTTGATTTCTGCAGGCAATTAGTTTTAAAAAAAACACATATGTATACACAGGCGGAGCGGGACGGACCTTAATTAAGCGGTTCGTAGGAGGACGCCCATCGCACCCCCACCCAGGACTTTAGGCTGTCACTTGTGCTATCATGTGTAGCTAAAAATTTGACCCGTTTGCACAGTGATATGGGATTCATATGCGAAATTTATTTTTTATAGTGGTAAATGGGTTATCAAGCACCTACAAAAGTGTATTTTTTTACAAGTGGAATTTACTGAATAATTATGTTGGGGCACATGAGGCTTCGATCGATGCATGGTACATGGCATTGGTCATTTGTTTGCTGGACCTATACATAATTGAGTCTATAATGGGCAAACCAATTTGATTAGTCCATTATATCAAGGCATATACGTCGAGGAAAATTAAATAATAGTCCAGATATTATTATTTAATTTGCTGGACCAATATATTATTTAATTTTCGCATTACCTGATTTGAGATTCCTCGACGTACTGTTCCTTGATATATGTTTATCTCTACAGAAAGACTAGCAGCTAATTCAAATCTACACTTGATTTTTGACAATGACAAGGTGAACTCATTTGTACATAAATATTGCTTGAATTTAGAAACTAGAAAGCTACATAATACTAGAAACGTAGGGACGCGGATGCTATCATACCCCAGTTTTTTATCAGCAAGAGGGAGGACAGGGACATCGTAGACGACTCAGCGCAAGGAATAGCCTGAAATGAGATGATGACCATCGAGAGGGACATCTTAGACTCTCCACAAGAGGTTACAGAACTAGCAACTTGGTGAAGTTGGATGAGAAGAATGAAGAATTGGCACTCCAATTAATTTTCAAATAATTAAATAAGAAGAGGTGTACAGTATATACTAGCAACTTGGTGAAGTTGCATGCATCAGAAGAATTGAAGAACTGACATTCCAATTTTTAAATATTATTAAATAAGAGGAACATATAGGTTTTGTGCTATGTAGGTTTTGTTTGGTTTTCATACATTCGTTGCTTTTGGATCTCGCAGGATTGCAGCACAAATCATTGTGTTGCCCAGACTAGGAATGAAATCTGTTCGGATAGTTTCGATTTTCAGACGCATTTTCGTAAACGAATAGTCTTGGATAGATAATTTTTAGATGGTAAACGAATATGGATAGTTTTATTTTCAGAAATGGAA